CTACCCTCTCAATGTTTTTGAACTACAAAAGAAGACTGCACTTGCTATGGGCAAAACACTTCGAGAAGATGAAGAAGAAATGAGGCGGGCAGCAGCACTAATGGAGATAATGGGAAGAGTGAGATTTGTGCTAATATTAGATGATGTATGGGAAAATTTTTCTTTGATTGATGTTGGAATCCCAAAACCAACACTCCAGAATAGGTGCAAAGTAGTTATCACCAGTAGATCGACTGATGTATGCAATTTTTTGGGTTGTGAGATTGTTAAAGTGCAGCCTCTTTCACCAGGGGAGTCTTTAAATCTATTCCTCAATAGGGTTGGACATGATGTTTTACAAGTTGCAGGATTGGAAGAAATGTTGAAGCTTATTGTGGAGGAGTGCGCCGGTTTACCGTTGGCAATTGTTGTAGTAGCAGGGTGCATGAGGGGAGAAAAAGACATTATAGAGTGGAGAAATGCACTAAATGAATTACGCCAGTGTGTAAAGAGTGTGAGAGTTAAGGAGGATATGATATTTAGGCGGTTAAAATTTAGTTACGACCGTCTAGGAAGTTTGGAAATCCAAAAATGTTTTCTTTATTGCTCCTTGTTCCAAGAAGATTATGAGTTTTCTAGAAAGAAGTTGATAGAAGGTTGGATTGATGAAGGATTGATTGATGAGTCGGGCAGAAGACAAGAAGTTTACGATAGGGGTCATGTTTTTTTAAATAGGCTGGAAAAGAACTGCTTGTTAGAGAAAACTGTTGATAGGTTTTCTGATGAAGTTTTTAAGATGCATGATGTTGTGAGAGACATGGCTATCAAATGCATTGGTCCTGGATTTGGATATATGGTAAAAGCTGGTATGAAATTGACAAAGGTACCGAATGAAAGTGAGTGGGTAAGAGATCTTAAGAAGGTCTCTCTAATGGCAAATGGCATTTCAAAAATTCTGGTTGGTTTGTCCCCAAAGTGTCCTTCGCTGTCAACTTTGATGTTGTCAAAAAATCCTAATTTGTCAGAGATTTCAAGTTCCTTTTTTGAAGATATGGTCGGGCTTAAGGTTCTTGATCTTTCTGGTACTGGTGTTGAAGCTTTACCTGATTCCATCTCTAACTTGGTGAATCTCTCTGCACTGCGGTTGTGGGAGTGCCAGAGCTTAAAGTACCTGCCTTCCTTAGCAAAGCTCAGGGCATTGAAGAAGTTGGATCTGTCTGAGGCAGGGATTGAGGTGGTCCCTCAAGGCATGGAGATGTTGATAAGTCTTGAATATCTTGATTTATATTGTCCAAATCTGAAAGAGATTCCAATGGGAATATTACCTAGCCTTTCCAGTCTCCAGTACTTGGTTGTATATCCAAGCAGTGCAATTACTAAAAGGATACATATAGAAGAGGTTGCTAGTTTGAGCAATTTGGAGAGTTTGGAATGTGGAATGGAGGTCCAAGACTTCAACTATCTTATTAATAAGTCTAAAGATTTTGAGAGTCTTACGGCTTATGAACTTCGACTGACAACAGGTGAACGAGAAATCACAGCTTACGGATTTTTTAATAAATATCAACGTAAGGTTTTAATTGCTGGGTTGGAGATTGAAGAAGAATGTGTAGTGCTTCCAGAAACTCTTGAGAATTTGCGGATCGCTTGCTGTAAAAACATGAGATGCAGCTTAAACAAAACAGTTTTGTTAGAAAATGCAACCGAGTTGAGAAGGTGTTCTATTGATGATTGTGAAGGGATAGAGTGCATAGTAGAGTTGGACTCATCCTCCTCCTCGTTGTGTTGTCCAGTATTGGATAAGCTTGAAGACTTGGATCTTCACATTTTGCCTAACTTGAGTGTACTTGTGAGAGTGGAAGGAGTAGCAACACCACCGCACATCTTTTCCAATCTTAAATATCTTAGAATAAGATTTTGTTCAGCAATGAGGAATTTGATTCCACTTGGGCTGCTGCAGGCCCTCCAAAACTTAGAGTGCATTATAGTTAGGGGATGCAGACAAATGGAGGAGATAATAGCATCATCAGATTCAGATGCATCATCATCAAATAACATCACTTTCACTTTTCCTAAGTTACGGGTATTGACCTTGGTGGAATTATACCAATTGAAAAGCATCTGCAGTGGCAAAGGAGTTATGGTTTGTGATTCTATTGAAGTTATTCAAATAAGTAAATGTCCGAAGTTGGAGAGGATACCTTTACAACTTCCTCTCCTTGATAATGGCCAGCCATCTCCTCCTTCTTGTCTCAGAGAAATCAAGATAGATGATAAGTCAAAAGAATGGTGGGAATCGGTGGTGGAGTGGGATCATCCTAACGCTAAGAACATACTCCAACCTTTCTTGGAATTTAGTCCACCTCATAAATGGGGGTAAGGGGTTGATTGATTTATTCTAATTTGAATTTGATTTGTTTAGTTGCTTAAAATTTCTGTCATCTCATCTGAAAGCGGAGTTGTTGATGAATCTTCAATTTTCCAGATATAACTGAATAAGTCACGTGCGAGCCCAATAACACGTGCCAATAAAACCCCTTCTTTCAGTACTCCACAACAGGAACAAAGCCAAAGATGCGTCTGATATGGGAAGCCTATGTATTGTGGAAGAGATGAGAATGAGATTGAGATGCATCCACCCTTCACCCTCTGCTCTACCGTCCTATCTCATAAACTCCAACTATGTAAGTATCCATATTTTGACTTTGATAATTTTTATTTTTGGGTTTTATACTTTCATTTCATTTATGTAGAAATTAATTGGATTTTGGGTTTGGGTATGTATGGCTCATTGAAATTGGATTTTTGGTTTGGGTAGTAACAAAATCGTGAGTGATGAGATTGGCTAATGTTTGCGGTTGGAACGTTAATATTTCTTTTATTCATTTGATTTTTTTTTTTTTTTTTT